GCTCTCTGGGCAGAGATGTCTGTTGCTTTCCCTCAGGCCGGGGCTGTGCCCTCACTCCTGGCACATGGTGTCCATGCACAGGAGTTCATAGGAGCAGAGTCCCTGCTGCCTTCTCGGAGGAAACATCTGCTTTCAGAATTGCCTGGCCATGCTGATTTGTTCYTCCATGAAGGGCTTTTCTTGCTTTCATCAGTTCTAAGAGTAGCTCCTAAGTGGGGAAAAAAAACCCATTTCCAGCACCTTTTCTGCAGAATAGTGGTGCTGGGTCTGGTGGCAGTGAGATGGGTGACAGCAGGCAAGGGCTGTGTGTGCTCAGGCTGTCACTGTCGCTGCCTGGTGGCGCATCCTGGTGAGGCACAGGGAGGTTGAGCTCTCCCAGAACTGGGTTTGGACATCTCRGCTTTTCCCATTTCATGAGTGGGGCACAAGACACGTGTTTTGTGGCTGAAGGGAAGTCCATTCTTGGGGAGGTGTGTGTAACCTCGATGTGAGTGTTAACTTYGGGACACACAAATCCTTTCCTCAGTCCCTCATTAAGGCCTCAGGGGTCGGACATCCCATGGTTCTCAGGAGGGAACTGTACTCAATGGGAGCTATTGTGAGCATTAAATGGCGTGAAATAACAGTGACCCAGAAAAGTCAGATCACAAATATCTCAAATTATGCAAAATTACATCAGCTTTTTGCAGAAGARGCGRGGTAAGGTGTGCATGAGTGCRTGTGTATTTTACCCTTAATTTTGCYCTTAGTAAGTTTTGCCCTACAGTGTCTTGTTCTCAGCTCTCAGMAAAATGCAGACTGAATATTTTCCTTTCAGAAATGTGAAATGAGATGAAATGGATCTGCTCTATTTATTTAACAGGATTTGATTCACAACAAAACAAATTAACTGGAAAACATTGCTGGGAGGACTGGCATAGCTCTGGGGAATGTTAATGTGTTACTGGGATTATGCAAGGAATGAATAGACTGGAATCCTCAAATATTCACTTGAACTTCCTTGTTGTTTAGAAGCCTATTTGTACAGAAAAGGCTTATTGTGATGCTATATCTATATAATATTAATGACAGTAGTAATAATAAATTGTATAATATATTACCATGGAGTTATTCCAGACAGGACATTCAGAGCCTCATCTTTTATGGTCCTTCCTGAAGGTGACAGTGTGACCTATTGCAACAAGATTTTGGGAATGGGATACCAGGTTAGGCAGTGACTCTTTTTCTTTACAAGCTGTGAAAGAAGTGGCTAAAGATGGCCCTGCACTGGGGTGTTCCTGACCATGATGGGATATCCAGGAGCTTGCAGACCCTGTGGAGTCTGKCAGCTGTGCAGGCTGGCTGCCACCCCACCACTGGCCAGCACTGCAGAGAAAACACTTTGTCTTTATTGTTATTGGTGTTGCTTATCACCACAGATGTCTGGTATTTATATTTAGTACTTGTCTCACTTATATCATGTTGGGTGGGTGTCAGCTGATGCTCTCCTGATTAATRCCTGCTGCAAATGCCCTGCACATGYYCCRGAGGGCAGCAGTGTGGGTGAGGACATCCCTGTCACCATTCCCATCCACACTGACCCATCCCTGGTTAGCAGCAGAGGGCTTTGCACAAGTCTGGTGCCACCAAGGACACACTGGACACTTGGAATCACAGAACCCCAGAATGGTTTGGGTCGCAAGGGACCTTAAAGGTTGTCTTGTTCCACTCCCTGCCATGGGCAGGGACATCTTCCACTATCCCAAGTTGCTCCAAGCCCTGCACACTCTGGTCTTGGACACCTCCATCTGGAGCATCTCATGTGCTGCTGAAGTACCCTAGGCACCTCTGCCCCTGAGYACCTCTGAAAAGCATCTTGGCTGATTTTTAAGTACAGAATACTGCAGGCAGCTAAAAATCAAGGCATGAGGGTGATTGTAATCTGCCTGCTCTAGATTCACCCTCAGTTCTTACTCTGTGACTGCTGAAGTGGTGATGAAATAGTTCCTGTTGTGATCCAAGTATATTCTGAAAGGCTTCTTTGGTGGAAGTTCCTTAGCAATGCAGGTGTGTACTATCTGAGGTAAGATGCTGCATTTCCTTCTGTAGAAGTGATTTTAAAAATCCCCATTTTTAGGTTCTTCTAGCCAATTCCCATCAGCACATGGATCAAAGCCACTGCAGTGCCAGGCAGGCCTTGGAACACACTGGAGAAGCTCTTCTGCATTTGATTTCCACTGTGTGCTGGTCACTGGTCACCTTGGGATTAATGTAAACTTCACAGATGTGATGTGGAATCACTGGCAAGTGTCAAGCCCTGTCCAATCCCACTTCCACACAGCAAGATGCTCCCTGTGAGCTTTTTGTATGGCTCCTCAAGGTCTCCCATTTGCAGGATTAATTAGGGTTTGTGTAAAGTGTTCAAATCCTTTTACAAGTCTGCACTTGTGCTTTGAACTTGACCAAGTTTTCATCTAAAGTGCAAAGTTAACACTTCTGTTACGCTGAGCAACCAAAAGGGTCTGGGCAGATCTTGAATACATTATAAAATAAATATATTTAAAATATAATGTAGGAACAAGAGCTGCTACTACATGTACAGCGCTCTGAAGCACAAGTCTGATGAGGAGCACTGAGGGAATGAGTGACAGGACAAGGGAAAATGACCTCAAGTTGTGCCGGGGGAGGTTCAGGTTGAATATTGGGGAAAATCACTGAAAGAGTGGTCAGGCATTGGCACAGGACAGTGATGGAGACACCATCCCTGAAAGTATTAAAAAAATGAGTAACCATGGCACTTCATTATATGGCTTGTTAACATGGTGGGRTTCTGTCAGAGGTTGCTCTTGATGATCTTGGAGGTCGTTTCCAACTTAAGTTGTTCTGTGCTGTGTGTCCTGTGGCAGCTCCCGCCCTCTCGCCTTGCTGTGCTGTGTACTCTCAGAGATCTCCACTAGATGGTGGAATGGACCAGTAAAAGAG